CGGTTTTCTGAAATTAACAAAATGCGGTTTTTTTCTTTCTCAATATAGAGACGAATGAGGTATTTTCCAGAGCCGACGAGATGACTCGACCGGAACGGTTTTCTGAAATTAACGAATTGCGGCCGATATGTAAATCTTTTTTTAATTTTTTTTTCTTTTTCGTCCTTTCTTCCCTGCGGGGAGTGATGGGACGACGGGTGCATCGATGCATCCGACGCTTCCAACGACGCATCCCAAGGGAGGCGATCGATCCTCTCCGTCAACGGGCCAATTATCCCGATAGGATCGATCGACGTCCCTAGGGCGCGGACACTGGGCGCCCGAATTAGTCGCCGGCTTATCGGTGTTATCAGGTAGCCGCGAGCGCCGGTGCGCGGCTAAAAGAAAAGGAAGAAAGCCCCTCTCCCCTGAGAAGGAAACATTCCCAAGTGTCCGCCGCCGATCTCACTGATTTTCATATATATGTTGAAAAACGCAAAAATCTAAGACACGTTTTTTTATTTATTTTTTATGTTTTTATTTGCAATGGTTCGCATTTAAGGGGCGAAACAACCCCCCAAAGTTTGGCGAAAAATCGATTTTTATATTAATTTTCGTAGAAGCAGGGGAGGGATTTCGACGAAACTTGGCATAAACGTATTCTGTATGAGGACGGTGAAAACGCAATATTGTCCTGGAATGGTACAACTCCTCAAGGGGGTGAACTACCCTTCGGGTAAAATTTTTTTCTAATATCTATTAAACAAACACTCCTACTTAAGTTCCACTTATGCCGTGTGATTGATCACGAAAAATGCGGAAATACGTGTTTTTTGCTTTTTGCGAATGAACATTTATACGTCGGTTGAAAAGAATGGATGTAGGTGGTATATGGGTATATCCCGACTACCTTTATTGGGTTATATCGGCATCGAATCTATTGCGAAACAATTTCAGTCTCTTAAACTGTTATTTCTTTAAATTTGTTTATAAATTAAAATTATTTCTAATATCTATTAAACAAGCATTGCTACTTAAGTTCTACTTATGCCGTGTGATTGCTCACGAAAAATGAAGAAATACGTGTTTTTTGCTTTTTGCGAATGAACATTTATACGTCGGTTGAAAAGAATGGATGTAGGTGGTACATGGATATATCCCGACTATCTTTATTGGGTTATATCGACATCGAATCTATTGCGAAACAATTTCAGTCTCTTAAACTGTTATTTTTTTAATTGGTTTATAAATAATTGCATGCTATGAAAACCAACGACATTTTGAGGTATTGGCACGTTTACATGATTTATGTACAATGAATTGGTCACGATATATCCCAATAAAGATAGTCGGAATATACCCATATACCACCTACATTCATTCTTTTCAACCGACGTATAAATGTTCATTCGCAAAAAGCAAAAAACACGTATTTCCTCATTTTTCGTGAGCGATCACACGGCATAAGTGGAATTTAAGTAGGAGTGCTCGTTTACTAGATATTAGAAAAAAATTTCGCCCGAAGGGTAGTTCACCCCCTTGAGGAGTTGTACCATTCCTGGACAATGTGTATCCACTGTCCTCATACAGAATACGTTTACGCCAAGTTCCATCGAGATCCCCCCCCGCTTCAACGAAAATTAATATAAAAATCGAATTTTCGCCAAACTTTGGGGGGTTCTTTCCCCCCTTAGATGCGAACCATTACAGGTAATAAAAAAACACGTGTCTCTTAGATTTTTACGTTCTTCGACATATATGAAAATCAATGACATCGGCGACGGACACTTGTCAATGTTTCCTTGTGAGAATGCCACCTCGCGCATACGGCCACTTCCTCGTGCCAATGTCAGGTCCACTCGCGAAGTGGACCAGTTCCTTAGCGGCATCGCGGCGCCCCCCGAGATAACGGTTACCGAGGAATGATAATGGACCGCGTCGATGGGCTCCGAGTCGGCCAATCTGGGAGAAAGTCACTTTTCCATCCGCCTTGCTTCCCCGATCTGCTCTCTTCCCCCTCCTTCTATCTCCCTCTCGCTCGGTCCTTCCGCGTTATCGGCGCGGAATTACGCAACGACTGCCGGCACCGCGGTGCGATTATCGATATGGGTCAGAATTTGGGAGATAGCGGATCGTACGCGTCGCTCCGAAATCTGCGCACGGCGATCTCGAGTGTCCAATAAATTGCCCGAATTGTTGTTGCCCCCTCTATCTCTCTTTCTCTCTCTCCCCATCGTTATCGACGTTTCTTCTCGTCATTTGCGAACTTTGCCACGAGATTAGCCCGCGAGTTTTATAGTGGGTCTTGAGATTGATCCTTTGAGAGGCGACGATATCGCGGCTTCCATCTGGCTGGAGGTTTATATATATATGTATATTATATATATTTATATATATGTATATATATGTATAGTATATATATATAAACTCAGCCAAATAGAAGCCACCACATCGTCGCCATATATATGCATAATATACGTATATATCCCTTTTATCGCCGGGCGAAAAAGAGGTGCTTATGCGAAGATAACCGGCCGAATTTTACGATTTTACTAGGATTTGGAAAAAGGCTCGTAAAAACCAAACGAAAAGCAATATTTACATAATTCAAAAAGTCAGGGTATGAAGGACAAAATAGAGAATAAAACGGTGACGCTAATTTTTCTATATTCATTGAAAATTACATAAATAACAAAGGTATAAGCGATCGAAAAAAAGAAGAAAAACTGAGTTCTCCGTTTCAAAACGTGATTGCACATAGGGTCATCTTTTTATCGTAAATTTATATAGACCGTTTATTGCAAGGTATATACTTAAACTTATAAAATCTCACGCGGAAATTTATATATATATATAAATAAATTTCCATTATAGTGGCTTCTACCTGACTGGCGCTTCTTTATGAAGCGACGCTATGGTGGCTCCGATCCGATCGATGGTTTTTTTATGAACCGCTACTATAGTGGCCTCTTTCATTCCAATACATTGAAAGCGATAAATGAATTCGGAAATATATATATATATTTTCACTATAATAGCTTCTACCTAACTGGCGCTTCTTTTTGAAGCGACGCTATGGTGGCTCCGATCCGATCGATGGTTTTTTTTATGAACCGCCACTATAGTGGCCTTCATTCCAATACATTGAAAGCGATAGATGAACGCGGAAATATGTATATATATTTCCACTATAATAGCTTCTACCTGACTGGCGCTTCTTTATGAAGCGATGCTATGGTGGTTTCCATCCGATCGATGGTTTTTTATGAACGGCCACTATAGTGGCCTTCATTCCAATACACTGAAAGCGATAAATGAATGCGGAAATATATATATATATATTTTCACTATAGTAGCTTCTACCTGACTGGCGCTTCTTTATGAAGCGACGCTATGGTGGCTTCGATCCGATGGATGGTTTTTTATGAACCACCACTATAGTGGCCTCAGTTCCAACACCCTGGAAGCGACAAATGAACGTCGTAATCCATATAATATTTTGTATTAATTTTTGCACATATCTCTACTTTCGAGCTCAGTGGGCGCGCGCAGAAGTGTCTGGTTTGCGTAATCGCGGGGGAGGCGAACCAAGGCGAGGATCCCGTAAAAGCGTCACCGGGTGGGGCGGCCAAAACGCGCCGGAATTACCGGCGGTCCTCGGTCCTTGCTCCCTTCCCGGAGAGGCCGGGTCTTTTCCCGGTTTCCCGGCGCGTCGATCGAAAATAGAAGGGAGCGTCTCTCCTCGGCCGGGGGCGTCGCGACGCGTGCTCTTTCTCTCTCTCTCTTCTTCGTCTAGAACGAGAAATTCGGAACGTCGGGGAGAGCTAGGGAGATCGAACGGGGAATCGAAGGAAAGCGCTATTAAAAGTAGAATCGATTAACCATTTGAAGGCAAAGCCGTTTTGACGTATGGGCGAAATTCGCGATACCGTGCAAGCGATTGTGGACCAAATGCTGGACCTATATGTATGATGTGAAAGCGCGATTAAAAGTAGAGGGAATCGATTAACCATTTCAATGCAAAGCCATTTTAACGTATGGGCGAAATTCACGATACCGTGCAAGCGATTGTGGACCAAAAGTTAGACGTATATGTTTGGTGTTGTAAGGTAAAGGTTAATGTTGGAGGAAAATGGATTTTAACATGCCATTTTGACGTATGGGCGAAATTCGTGACACCGTGCAAGAGATTGTGGACCAAACGTTGGACGTATATGTATGATGTGAAAGCGCGATTAAAAGTAGAGGGAATCGATCAACCACTTCAATGCAAAGCCATTTTGACATATGGGCAAAATTCGCGATACCGTGCAAGCGATTGTGGACCAAAAGTTGGACGTATATGTATGGTGTTATAGGGCAAGGATTAATGTTGGAGAAAAATGGATTTTAACAAGTCATTTTGGCGTATGGGCGAAATTCGCGATACCGTGCAAGAGATTGTGGACCAAACGCTGGACCTATATGTATGATGTGAAAGCGCGATTAAAAGTAGAGGGAATCGATTAACCATTTCAATGCAAATCCATTTTGACGCACGGGTGAAGTCGCAACACCGTACAAGCGATTGTGGACCAAACGTTGGACGTATATGTATGGTGTTGTAGGGCAAGGGGTAAAGTCGGAGGATAATGGATTTTTCAAGCCATTTTAACGCATGGGCGAAATTCGCGATACCGTGCAAGCGATTGTAGCCCAAAAGTTGGAAGTATATGTATGATGTTGTAGGGCAAGGGGTAAAGTCGGAGGATAATGGATTTTTCAAGCCATTTTAACGCATGGGCGAAATTCGCGATACCGTACAAGCGATTGTGGACCAAACATTGGACGTATATATATGATGTTGTAGGGCAAGGGTTAAAGTCGGAGGATAATGGATTTTTCAAGCCATTTTAACGTATGGGCCAAATTCCCGATACCGTGCAAGCGATTGTGGCCCAAAAGTTGGACCTATATGTATGGGGTTCTAGAGCAAGGGTTAAAGTCAGAGGAAAATGGATTTGAATGATTTTTTATTGCAGATCTCTGGAGGTGTTCGAGCAGCACGGAAGGAGACACTCGGAGATCCTGAAGGAGCAACGCCAGGCCGGTGGCTGCGGCCTGGGAGGGCCGCTGCGTTTCCGGGACTCCATCCTCCTCTGGCTGCGCTGCGAGCAGGTGGGTCCCCGGGTCCCGGGGGACGATTCCGCCGCGAAACCGGCGCGGCCGCGACTTTCCCTCGCGGCGGCGTTGGGTAACGCCGAGCACGGCTCGTTGGTCGCGAGCACCGCGCGGAATTCGGATCTTTCCTAAAGGCGCGGTCGAGTTTCGCCCGGAGAGCGGCGAGAGATCCGCTTTTCCCGCTTCCAGCGGGCGGTCGTTCCGCGGAGGAAAGGCCGGAGCGAGACGCCGGGGGAACATCGACCGCGGAGGAGAGGCGGAGGTCGGGAACGAGAGGCAAGAAACGGGACGCGGCGACCAGGATGTAGGACGCGAGTCTCCGGGAGCGGAATGCCGAGAACGGGACGAGGAGCGAAAATAACCGGCGGTGGTTCCGCGCCGCCCACGCGGCCGCGCGGAATCTCGCGCGAGCCGGTTCCCACGTGGCCCGAGTCCCGATCGATCCTCTTCTCGGGCAATCTTCCCTCGGGATTGCCGACAAAGGGCCTTAATTCGGGCAATCATCGCGAGTGGAAGGGTCGATCGCTTCTCGGGACGCCGAGGAACCGCTCCCGGGGGCGCGGAACCGCGAGCGCTTCCTGGAAGCGGAATTGGAGCGGAATTCGAGTCCTAGGACCGTCGCGATCCCGGAAAGGGGAGGAGAGGGGCCGAGACGGCGGACAGACGGAGAACCGGAGCAAACTGGACGAAGCTGGTCGATACGAGGAGGAACGAGAGAGAAAGAGAGAGAGAGAGTGCGGCCTAATTCGCGGAACGCGAGGGCCGCGCCGGGGGAGTGAATGGCGGGCTCGCGCATGCGCGCCGAGCGCGGTGCGTACACGCGTACATTTTTATGAATGAACCCGTCTCTCTCCCTCTCTCGTAAACCGCGTGAAGAGCGTCGCGCCGGCTCGGCGGGCGAACCCTTTCCTTTCGAAGGGAGGGAAGAGAAAAAGGGACATCTCGACCGTTTCCTCTCGATCCCGCGGCTTGGCGAGCCGAGCCGAGTTTTTTGGCGCGAAGGGGTCCCCTGTCTCGCTCTTTTGGCTCCTTTTCGCTTTTTTCGCTTTTCTCGGGTTTTCTCTTCCTTGCGCATATTTTCTTTCTCTCTTGCCTCTTTTCGTTTTTTTCCCCCCTTCAGCTTTTATCGCACTTCTTCCTCTCCTCGGTCTTCACACTCTAGCTCTTTTCGCTTTTCTCGAGTTTTTCTCTCTTCGCATATTCTCTTTCTCTCTTGCCTGTTGTCACTTTTTTCGCTCCTCCGACTTTTATCGCTCTTTTCGCTCTTCTCGGTCTTCTCGCTCTCGCTCTTTTCGCTGTTTTCGCTCCTTTGGCTTTTATCGCACTTTTCGCTCTCCTCGGTCTTCTCGCTCTCGCTCTTCCATTCGCGCGGGAATCGCCTCGCCTTGAGGCTAATCAACGGCGGCCGCCACTTGGCCGGCAGCTGTCGTCGTATCAGCGGCCGCGCCGAGATGTCGTCACTTCCTGTTCCTCCGGCGAGTCGTGAGACGCCGCGAGGAGGCCCTCCGTGGGAGCCGGTGGACTCCCCGTTCCCGAGGGCTACACCCGCGCGTCCTTCCGTCTAGTTTCCGCGTCGCGGCCGAGTCGTTGGCCCGAGCCTTCTATTTCCATCCCGTAAACGATGGCCCGAGGGAAATCCCAAGAGAGGCCCGCGAATCCCCGAGTCCACGTGCTCCTAGCGCTCGAGGAGAACGACCGATCTCTTCTCCTGGAGTATATCCAATGACCACTCCTTATCGTCGCGAGGGCGGAACTCCGGAAAAATGGCTTTAAAAGGGGATAAAAGAGACGCGAATCCCGGAGTCCACGTGCTCCTGGTGCTCGAGGAGAACGACCGGCCTCTTCTCCTGGAGTATATCCAATGACCACTCCTTATCGTCGCGAGGGCGGAACTCCGGAAAAGGGGATTTAAAAGGGGATAAAGGAGACGGCGAAAGAGACGCGAATCCCCGAGTCCACGTGCTCCTGGTGCTCGAGGAGAACGACCGACCTCTTCTCCTGGAGTATATCCAATGACCACTCATCGTCGCGAGGGCGGATCTCCGGAAAAGGGGCTTTAAAAGGAGATAAAAGAGACGGCAAAAGAGTCGCGAATCCCCGAGTCCACGTGCTCCTGGTGCTCGAGGAGAACGACCGATCTCTTCACCTGGAGTATATCCAATGACCACTCCTTATCGTCGCGAGGGCGGAACTCCAGGAAAAGGACTCCAAAAGGGGATAAAAGAGATGGCGAAAGGGCCGGAAACGAGATCGGCGAGAGAGCTCGCGAAAAGTCGAACGCACACGCGTGCTCTCTGGGGCCTCCCCTCGTCGAGGAAGCCTTGACCCGATTCCGGGGCCCGAGTGGTGCTTTCTAGTTTCTGGTTTCGACATTCCGAGAGAGAGACCCGGCCCGAGATACCGGGTTGGTTCCTCGAGGAAGGACCCGCGAGGTCGGCATAAATTATCCTCACCGGTCCGTTAACAATCTATTAACGAGTTTCCCTTCTTCCAGGAGGTCCTGGACGACAGGCTGGACCGCAGGGTGGACTCTATGGTGAAGGCCGGCCTGCTGAAGGAGCTTCTCGACTTCCACGAGAGGTACAACCGCGAGAGGATGGAGAGCAACGCGTAAGTTCGAGGGTGCGTCCTGGAGGCGGCGGGCTCTGGAATATTTTTTTTCCTCCAAGTTTTTTGGTATAATGTTTTTTATTTTGTTTTGTTTTATTTTTTATTTTGTTTTGTTTCGTTTCATTTTATTTCAATTTATTTCATTTTATTTCATTTTATTTCATTTTATTTAATTTATTTTAATTTTATTTTTTTTCCCTCTTGTATCTTCTCTCGCGAGGACAGTCGGACGTACCGAGTCATCGAATTCCGCGGGAATCAGGTGGCCGGCCTTCGAGCTTGGCCGACGCGGGATTTTTTCTCTCTATTTTTTTTTTCTTATTTTTTTAACGCATCAGAGGGGTCCTCTAAATCAATCTTAAACATTCCCGAGGATTCTTTTCGATCGTAAAAGTTAATCGGAGAGGAGGGAATCGACGTGTCGATGAGAGGTGGAGGTAGACCCCTTTTCCTTCAGCCTCCGCGACGGAGAGCACGTACTTCCGGTACCTTGACTCCTCCGCACGCCTCTCGCCGATTCGCCACCGGAAACCGGAAACGCGGCCTCGCCGATCCCCGAAATCGCGTGCCGGGAATTTTGCCAACCACGGATTTTTTCTCTCGGATCCCATGGCGTCCATGAGAATCCGCCTGAAAAAATGTCCATCACCACCCGTTCACCTCGGAATATTCGAGCTTATCCGGTCGCGTTTAAATATATCCATCCTGCTCGCGGTTACACGTGGGGGATTTTCCAAGATACATTTTTAGGGAACTCTTTTTGTCTTTTCTTTTGGTCCCCCCCATCCGGGTAATTTCCTTTAAAAATTATACGCTAGCGAATCTTTGCGCTCGAGCCTCGGGATCTATTTACGATCGATTTAGAACTTTCTTAGGGATTTATATTGAAAATATATCGACTCGCGAGTGATAAGGCGACTCCTCGAGGTCGAGCCCCGATATCTCGGACACGTGGAGATCGCCGGTCGCGAATCCCCAGGGGAACGACGATCGTTAAAGTGAAGTGATACGAGTCGAGGAACTTCATCGACGTCGATAAAGAAGATTTTTATAAATGCCTACGTTGCCGACGTTCGTTTTTATATTGACAGCCCTGTCGAATTATATTGGATATTGTACCAAATGGCATTCTTGCTTTCTGGGGCCCTAATTGACTGCAGAGGGACACCCTGCGCCATCTGTGGTTTCCAGGTCAATTAAATTTTCACTCCGAGACCTCGTATTCCCATCGTTTTGGCATAGAAGCGCATACAACACTTTTTTTGCCTTTATCCCGTTCAAATGCGAGTTTATCGATTATCAGAGTGTTCCAAATTGTCGTAAAATTGTCCTGACCCTTTCGTTTCTCATATCAGAGCCTTCGATAGTTGTATATTGATCGAAATATGAGAGCTCGACGCCATTTTGTTTCTGGTCTGGGCTGAGTTTACAAATTTTATCCAAAAATCCAAATTTTGAACGTGTCAGGACAATTCTTAGATGATCAGGATGTGTCAAAGTTTCGGACAGTTTTGTCCAATACCCTTAAAAAAAAGTGTTGTATTAGAATCGACTGATTCGAAGGGGGTTTCACTTCACCTTAAGGGGGGATTTTCTTTTCTCTTCGCCGAGTTAACCGCTTCTTTATAATTTTCAGGTGGAGAAACAATACCACGGATCAATCTGAAATTTGGCATGTTGATTAATTGACATGTTACGTACGCATTAAATAATGTTGAATCGTTTCCTCCCAAAAATACGCACTCCCACAATTATTGCACGAAAACGACATAATGGAGTATATCAATTAGTACAATACCCAATATAATTCGACACAGCTGTCAGTATAAAAACAAACGACGGCCACGTAGGTATTTAGAAAAACCTGTTTTACCGACGTCGTTCAAGTTCCTCGACGTGTTTCACATCACCTTAATCGCCAAGCTCCATGCGGGGAGTTTAGCTGAGAAACAACTCGTCAAGGGCGACCTGGGGAAAAAGTAGGATGCGAGGTTGCAGTGTCGACGGGTGTTTGACTTGACGCGTCGCGCTGCGTAATGTTCTTTTTTTTCCGAGATTATCAGTGATAACGGCGCCGTTTACCCGACTATTCTCCCGTCGGTCTGACGTATGGTAGGCCGTTGTGCGTAATCTATGACAACGATATCGTGGTGCGTTAATTGACACCCGCCATACTTTGACATCGCATATCTTGACGTTTTCCTTTTTCTTTTCTTTTACATATCATCGTTACAAATCGCGCCCATCGGTCGCCGTACTTGGCGGCGAATTATCGTCGACGATAAATCGCAAAATCGGCGTCGATGAATAGCAAAATCGGCGTCGTTGAATCACAAAATCGGCGTCAATAAATCGCAAAATTAGCGGCGATAAATCGCAAAATCGGCGTCGATAAATCGCAAAATCGGCGTCGATAAATCGCAAAATCGGCGTCGATAAATCGCAAAATCGACGTCGATCGCGGCGGAAGAGGAAGCGGGGAAACCGGAGCCGGCGATTGTGTTTCTTGAAACAAGTGTCGGGCGATTCCGTTCCGGCCGAGACGCGCAACCTTTCCCGCCACGTAAGCCGCTCGCCGGCCTCAGACTCGGTTATCGCGGCCTGATAACACGTGGCGGCCATCCGAAGCACATTTCGCCGCATAAGGAGTTTCCGTCCGAGCGGAGGTGCCGATTAGCAGGCTCGATCGCTCGACTCGCACCTCGAAGCTATGTCGAGATGTTTTAATCGCTGAGGCGAAGTGAAGCCCCCCTCAAATCAGTCGATTCGAATTAACCCCTTTTTTTTTTAAGGGTATTGGACCAAACTGTCCGATTGACTCGGGATCATCAAAGAATTGTCCTGACACATTCATAATTTGGATTTTAAAAGAATTAGAGAAAAGATTTTAATCGCTAAGGCGAAGTGAAACCCCCTTCAAATCAGTCGATTCGAATAAAACAATTTTTTTTAAGGGTATTGGACCAAACTGTCCGAAACTTTGATACGTGACTCGTAATCATCAAAGAATTGTCCTGACACATTCAAAATTTAGATTTTAAAAGAATTAGATAAACGATTTTAATCGTTAAAGCGAAGTAAAACCCCCCTCAAATCAGTCATTTCGAATAAAACACTTTTTTTTAAGTGTATTGGACCAAACTGTCCGAAACTTCGACACATGACTCGTAATCATCAAAGAATTGTCCTGACACATTCAAAATTTAGATTTTAAAAGAATTAAAGAAAAGATTTTAATCGTTAAGGCGAAGTGAAACCCCCCTGAAATCAGTCAATTCGAATAAAACACTTTTTTTTTAAGAGCATTGGACCAAACTGTCCGATTGACTCGTGATCATCAAAGAATTGTCCTGACACATTAAAAATTGAATTTTTCCAAAACAGTTTTCAAGTTAGTCCAGACCAGAACTAAAACGACGTCGAGCTCTGATATTTCAGTCGATGTCCAATTATTGAAGGCCCCGATATGAGATACGAAAGTGTCAGAACAATTGTACGACAATTTAGAACACTCTGGTAATCGATAAACTCGTATTTGAACGGAATAATGACAACAAAAGTGTCTTATGAGCAGTTATGATAATACGACGGTAATACGAGGTCTCGGAGTGAAAAATTAGTTGACATGGAAATCACAGATGGCGCAGGGAGTCCCTTCAGTCGATTAGGACCTCAGAAAGCGTGAATCCAGAGGATTTCTGAAGTTTTACTTTGATTTCTTTATAACTATTGTATGAAAACAACGGGTGGAGTATGCCATTTAGTACAATACTAAATATAATTCGACACAGCTGTCACTATAAAAATGAACGTCGGCAGCGTAGGCATTTAGAAAAACCTATTTTATTGACGTCGATCACGTTTCTCGACGTGTTTCACTTCACCTTAAAGGATCGTTTATCTTCAATCTTTGATAAAGAAAAGGGGCAATAAATAAATGAAACGGCCATTTTATCGATCGCCCTGGAGGACGTCTGCGGTATTTTACGAAAACGAGATGCCCTGGTTCGTTTTAACATTAACACGGTTTCATTTTGAACCCCGTGACGAGCTATGGCTTTTTTTTTTCTTTTCCAGAGCTCCGGACTACACGAAGGGTATCTTTCAAAGCATCGGCTTCAAGGAGTTCCACGATTACCTGGTGCTCCCCGAAGACGAGAGGAACGGCGAAAAGGTATTCTCGGCCGTGGTTTCTTTTTTGCGATGCCTTGGGGAATTTTTCTCCCAGCTATTCCAGTACCTTTAAGGTGAAGTGAAACCCCCCTCAAATCAGTCGACTCGAATAAGACACTGTTTTTTTAAGGGTATTGGATCAAACTGTTCGAAACTTTAACACATGACTCGTGAACACCCAAAAATTGTCCTGACCCATTCAAAATTTGGATTTTTCCAAAACATTCTTCAAGTAAGTCTAGGCCAGAACCAAAATGGCGTCGAGCTCTGATATTTCGGTGAATATACAATTATTTAAGGCTCTAATATGAGAAATGAAATTGCGAGGACAATTGTACGACAATTTAGAACCTTCTAGTAATCGATAAACTCGCATTTTAACGGAATAAATGCAAAAAAAGTGTCTTATGCACTTTTATGCTAAAACGATGGTAACACGAAGTCTTGGAGTGAAAATTTAGTTGACATGGAAATCACAGATGGCGCAGGGGGGCCCTCTGCAGACAATTAGGGCCCAGAAAGCACGAATCCAGAGGATTTCTGGAGTTTTACTTCGATTTCTTGATATTTATTGTTCGAAAACGACAGGTGGAGTATGCCATTTGGTACAATATTCAATGTAATTCGACCCAGCTGTCAATATAAAAACGAACGTCGGCAACGTAGGCATTTAAAAAAATCTTCTTTATTGACGTCGATTAAGTTTCACTTCACCTTAATGGGTGTCCGTAAGCAAAGTCGGGAGGATGTAGGAAAAACGCTTTTATGTTTGTCGTAAGGTCGGTCTATGTGGCTTGTTGCGTTACGCAATCACTCCATCCGTTGTATGTCTGGTCGTTTGGTGCTCCTTCCGTTGGGGCATGGTTCCTAAAGTTTGTCTTAATTTCAGGGTAAACGTCTGCTCCAGCAAGGAATCGAGGATCTGAAAATTGTGACGAGGAGGTACGCCAGGAAACAGAAAAAGTGGGTGACCAACCGGCTTATTCGTCGGCAAGATAGACAGGTGAGGGTACTCATAATTCGTAGGTGTACTTCCATTTCCTCTACCTGCAGATGTACAGAGTTAAATGGTAGACGATATAGGAGGTAAACGTAAATTGTTTTCACGTTCTCAGGTACCTCCGGTGTACACGTTGGACTGTACAGATGTGGATCAGTGGAACGGCAAAGTGCTCGAGCCTGCCATAGCGATCGTTTCTGCAAGACTTCGTAACGAGACTCCCAGCCAGTCACCCGTTAATGAAAACGTGAAGAACGTTAAAGCGAACGACAGCAGCAACGAGGAGAAGCACACCTGCGAGGTAATGGTGATATCCATTAAATGTTAATTAATCATCTCGATGGGTGCGGTAGACTTTCTGCTTATCCTTCTGCAGATCTGCGAGAGGACGTTCATTGGCGAATTACAGTGGAACGCACACCTGGGAGGCGCGAAACACAAGAAAATGGTCCAGAAGAAGAAGGAATTGGAGAATTCCTGATGAGGGAATTCATCTTTTAAGGAGAAATTATGCTTTTTCTACTCTCAGATAGATTTGGAATATTTCTGACCGACCTAAGGACACGAATACAGAATATTGTTAGATATATTGTACTATTCTGTTGAATTGGTTTTGAAGTTTCGCTAAATTCTGGTCGGCTTCGCCGTTCGGGCAAGTTTTCTTAGTAGTTCATCGATTAGGGAAAGATAGGATTAACCCTTTGCGGTCGTATGTCTACTCTCAGCCACCAAAATTCTCTTGATCTTGTGAAAATGCGACCGCAAAGGGTTAAGTGGTTTTAGAAGAGATCGGTGGCGCTATCTTTCAGTTTTCTGGAGAACTGCCTCGGTGTGGTTGCTCAAACTTCGTGGAGATGGCGTCACTGATCAGCTTGAACTACCAAGCAAAGCAATCTGTTCGGTCAGTAAAGAAGCAATCAATGATACCATTTTTCGGTATCTAGGACTGACGCTTGCTACTTCTTCGCTCCTCCTTCTCTCCTGTTTCCTCAAAAGATTTTTCCTCCAAGTTCATATTTGAGGCAGGTTCGCAAAGTCGGCACGCTGAATCGCTATGTTACCGGTAACTGTTACGTCCATTATAGTATACACCAGTTCAACGCAAGCAGGGAATATCAGAGATGAGTTGGGAGATTGCTCACGGGCAGAGTCGCGCGATCGCACCGTGTGCTGCCCTCTGATTTCGTACGTTAGCTTTCACCGT